TTCATAACCAAGGGAGTGCAAACGGATTTGCAATTCAACATTTTGAATTTTTCAAGAAGAGTTTTTGCATACTTCTTTTGACAAATAAAAACTCCTCCTTCTTTTTGATAAATTTCAATGCCCAAGAAGTAATGCAACAAATCCAAATCACTCATTTCATATTTTTTCATCATCTCTCTTTTAAAATCATCAATCATTTTTCCATCACTACCGGTAAATACCAAATCATCAACATAAAGAGAAACAATAAGAATCCTAGTTTTACCTTGTGTCTTGTAGTACAAGGTTGGCTCACTTTTGCTCCTTTGAAAGCCTTTTTTGATGAAGTAAGAATCAATCTCACTATACCATGCCCGGGGTGCTTGTTTTAGGCCATACAAAGCCTTATTTAATTTGTAAACTTTCTCTTCTTCTCCTTTTGCAACAAAGCCTTGAGGTTGTTTTACATAGACATCCTCTTTCAAAACACCATTCAAGAAGGGTGATTTTACATCAAGTTGATACAAGGACCAACCATTTTGAGCCGCCAAGGCAATGAGTGCTCTAATTGTGTCAAGACGAGCCACGGGTGAAAAAGTTTCTTGAAAATCAATTTCGAGCTGTTGTGAATACCCTTTTGCTACAAGTCTTGCTTTGTTCTTTTGAATGGAGCCATCCGAATTGAATTTTGTTTTAAAAATCCATTTCACACCAATCACATCTTTGTCTTCTGGCTTCTCTACTAACTCCCAAGTCTTGTTCTTCTCAATCACATAAATTTCATCTTCCATAGCTTTCTTCCATACCTCTTGTTTAATTGCTTCTTCAAAGTTCTTTGGTTCAACAACATAAAAATTGCAACTTGCATACACATCACTATGACTTTTCATTCTTCTTGGAGTTGAACTTGGAGATGAGGAATTTGAGTTTGATGGAGAAGTTGGGATTGATTGTAAGCTAGATACGGGAGACATTTCTTGTGGAACTTCAAGAAAATCTTCATTTTCATTTTCTTGATTTCCTGATTCTTCATTGAAAATGGGGATTTGATCTTGAACTTTCTTCTCTTTCCAATCCCAAGCAGCCTTCTTGTTAAAGAGAGCATCTCTACAAATAATCAATTTATTCTTCTTCAAATTAAAGAGTTTATAACCCTTTGATTTTGAGCTATAGCCCACAAAGATGCATTTTTCACTAGCTTCATCAAGTTTGTGCCTCACTTCTCTGGGAACATAAGCAAAACAAATACACCCAAAAACTTTCAAGTGTTTTAATGATGGCTTCCTTCCACTCCATGCTTCAAATGGAGTTTTATTCTCCACCGCTTTTGTTGGACTCCTATTCATCAAGTAAGCAGCCGTATACACGGCTTCACCCCAAAATGATTTAGGTAGCCCCTTCTCATAAAGCATTGATTTTCCCATCTCAATGATTGTTCTATTTTTCCTTCTGCCACTCCATTTTGTTGTGGAGTGTACCCAACCGTTAATTGTCTCTCCAAGCCAATATCTTCACAAAACTTTTCAAACTCATTTGAGTTGTATTCTCCACCTCTATCACTTCTTAACAATTTGATAAGATGGCCACTTTGCCTTTCAACAAGCTTTTGAAATTTTTTGAAAATAGAGAACACATCTAATTTTTGTCTCATAAAATAAATCCATGTCATTCTTGAAAAATCATCAACGAAAATAATAAAATACTTGTTACCCGCTTGAGTTGGTGTTGTCATCGGTCCACACACATCGGTATGAACAAGCTCCAATGGTGCTTTAGCCCTCCATGCCTTCTCTTTCGGAAATGACTCTCGGTGATGTTTGCCAAGAGCACAACCTTCACAAACTTCTTGTATTGTTGGCAGCCCATATACCATGCTATTTTGTTGTAAATTCTTTAAGCTTTGGAAATTCAAATGGCTAAGTCTTCTATGCCAAAGCCAAGACTCATCAACAACATCCATCTTCAAGGCCATATTTTTTGAACATGAAAAAGTGAGAGGAAAGCTTTTATTTTTGCCCATCTTGATTTTTGCCATAATATGATTTTGTCCTCCCTTGTCATAAATTTTGCAAGAGTCCTCATAAAAATGAATGGAGTACCCATGCTCTACAAGCTGTCCAACACTTAACAAATTTTGCTCCAAATCCGGAACAAGTAACACATCCCGAATATGCTTTCTTCCTTTTTTTGTCTCTATGGCAATAGTACATTTTCCCTTTGCTTGGACCAAGGCACCGTTTCCCATCCTCACTTGAGAATTGGATGAAGAATCAATCTCCAAGAATATGTTTTTATCTTCGGTCATGTGGTTACTACACCCACTATCAAGAAACCACACATCATCCTTTTGTTCCGATGTCGAGTGACAAGCATAAAACATGCTCGTTTCACCTTCTTACTCTTTAGAAAAATTAGCTTGCTGATTTGTTTTCAACCGGCAATCTTTTTGAACATGTCCAAATTTCTTACAATTGAAACATTGAGGTTTTCCCCGAAACCAACAATCTTTGTCAACATGGCTACTTCTCTTGCAAATTCCACAATTTTGTTGAGTGGACTCTATATTTCCACTTCTCTCAAAATTATTTCTTCCTCTTCCTCTTGAATTTCTTCCTCTTCCTTTTCCGTGTCTTCCACCTCTAGAAGATTCACCTTTGGATCGATTAAAACTTGATGGGTATTTTTCTTGATTTTTGGAACATACATTGAGCTTGGATTGAAAAGCACTTTCAATTGTCTTTTCGGAGCGCCTACTTAACCTTTGCTCAAATGCTTTTATGGAACCCATCAATTCTTCAACACTTAAGTTTTCAAGCTTTTTAGTCTTTTCAATAACAGCAACAATAGAGTCATATTTTTCCGGCAAACTAATCAGAATTTTTTCAACAATTCTTTGATTAGAAATATCTTCCCCATAGGTTTTTATTTGATTTACCACCTCCATAAGTTTAGAAAAATAATCTTTCAACAACTCCATTTCTTTCATTTTCATATTTTCAAAATCTCTTCTCAAATATTGGAGTTTTACAGTTCTTACCTTCGTGCTGCCTCTATACTCCTTCTCGAGAATATCCCATGCCTCCTTTGCTTTAGAAGCATTGATAATTCTGGGAAAGATTGTATCAGCAACTCCTTGTTGAATCAAGCCTAAAGCTTTTGCATCTTTCTTCTTATGATCTTTCAATTGTTGTCTTTGGGCATTCGTCAAAGTTGTTGTATCATCCGGTTCATCATACTCATCTTCAATATAATCCCATAAATCATATGAGAGAAAAATGGTCTTCATCTTCACATACCAAAAATCATAATTTTCCCCATCAAAAATGGGAAGTGCTGATTGATGGACACCTTGGTTTTGATTGCCTGTAGACACCATCACGATCGATCTTCTTCGGGTTTTGTTTTCCCGTCAATAAGCTTCACACCCAGTTTGCTCTTGATCGAAATCAAGCTCTGATACCACTTATGTTGGCTATAGTTTCAACCAACTAAATAATTTCTAAGTGAAGAGAGGAGAGAAACAAATATTGTATTGAATTGAATTCTTTGTTGTGTTCATATCTTAACAACAAATACCTTACCCTATATATACTATTCTTCCATAGACCTTTGAACTTTTCAAGACAATCTCAACCACACACTTGATACATGTATCCACTTGATACATGTACAATAATAGAGGCATGAATGAATATATATATGAATGAACATGGCATTAATTATTTTTAACAATGCTAACACCTTTAAAGAAAACTGGTAGTAGAGGTCGAATGAGGGTTTCAATGGTGAATATGATAGGGGTTGGTACATTTGGGAGAGCAGCATGGGATTAAAACATGTAGATTGGTACATTTGGGAGAGGATCGATAGGAGTGCATTGACAACTGGGATAGCTGTTAACCTTACATAAACTCCTATACACCGAGAAAAATTTTATTGAGCCCTTTGCACCGTGCAACAAGCACATCCAACCATTCATTATCGTCATGTGTAATACATACATGGACATGTATGTTACACGAACGATCCGGATGCGCTCGTTGCACCATGCAACGGGCGCAATGAAGTTTTTCTCCTATACACCTGCATCGAAACACCACCATTGTTACCTTTATGGGTGGCTGTTAAGCCTGTTATCATTATTTACAACCTTGGTCATTTATTTATAATATGTCCAACACAGGCAGACGTACTCCTTCCTTTTCAATCGTCTACCCCATAGGGCAAATATATATATATAGAGAGAGAGAGAATTAACATATAAATAGGTTACAGTAAATTCAGAATTATGATTGAGAAGAAAGAACTTTAGCAACTAAACTATTTCCATTTGTTCACAACTGCAAATAATTTACTCTGTGGGGGTTGTGACTATTTTTTAAAAGTAATGTATATGCCATTAACACATTACCTATCCAAGGATATATACAGATATAAACACATAGAGGATCCAACAGAGAGAGAGAAAGAGAGTAATTTGAAATATTCTCATCAAAATGAGAGAGAGAGAGAGAAAACATTAGGCATCTGAAAAATAATCACCTGATCTGGGTCCTTTATTGTGCCAAGATATTGCCCATCGGCAGAAACATCAGCTACTGAATTCAACAAATTCTCTATAGGGATCAAGACATTGACAAATCCGGAAAATACATATTGGCAAAGCATACACTTCATTCTTTCTTTCATCCACTTAGGAGAAATTTATTTTTTTTGATAAGTAAAAATGTACTAGAAAGCATTCAAACGGGGAACGCATCCTACAAAAGTTAAACAAGGCCTAATAGGGGTCCCTAAAGAGTCCAAAAAATCAACCATTTCCCCCATAGATTTAAAATTTCACCCAAGAACCCAACAAAAAAAGAGAGCTAAGAATAGAGAACTTCAGCACCCCCAATAGAAGACTCCCCTCCCTCAAAAGATCTCCTATTACGTTCAAGCCATAAGCACCAGCAAACACACAAAGGCGCTGTCCTTCAAAAATCATGAGCTAGGCACCCACTGTACACCCTCTCCAAGCCTCAATCAGTCCTTGCGATGAGTGAAGCATAACCCACAACACCCCAAATAAGCCCAGCAATAAGCTCCAGCAATCCCAAGCGACTGGACAATACAACAAAAGGTGATCAAAAGTCTTCTCATCTCTCTTACACATGCAGCACCAGGAAAAATTGATAGACAACAGTTATTGACTTAAATGAAATCCAACAACTATACTTTTACCAGATTTGACCATTGTCAACACCATTTAAGCCAATCTTATGAACACAATCAGCTATAGGTATGGTTGGACAGACGTCGCCATTTGTATCTCTGATCTGGACTATAAAAGCATGGACCCCTTGATTCTTTCCAATTATATGGGGCTGTGAAAAAGCTATAGTGCATGCCGCATGCTAAAGAGCATCAAAACAGAAACGTGTCAGTTTTATATTGATACTGAAAACAAAATAATTGAAAGGACAACTACAAATACCAATATTTTTGCAAGAAACAACATTACTTCCATGCTCCAGTTCAGTCATTGCAATTGCTTCAATTAAATTCTTTTCAAAATTTTGAGCGAGAGGGCCGAAATTGGGTCAGACATTTGGGCTGTGAGTTGTGCATTCAATCAAGTAATAGGGCCGCAATTTCAGGCCAGTATCTAAATAATATCAGGCCAAGTTTCTGGGCCAGTCTTTGAGTGCTGGGCCCAGGTCAGCCAATTTAGCTTTTGGACACGGTCAGAACCTTGGTTTGATGAGCTAACAAAACTCGATTGGCTTACACTAAAAGTATCCATTCCTAAAGCCTTCATGTGGCTATGGAAATGGAATTCAGGGTATGCCCACCTAATGAAAATGGAATTCACTTAAATTTGTCCCACCTACTTATAAAAACTGCTCTCAACAAACTGATATAGTACATATTTCATTGGATGGGCATACCAATGTTGTGATATGCCTGGCTCACCCAATATCTTCTCCTTCACGTGACAATGTACACCATTTGAGCCTCCAGATGATAAAGAATGAACAGAGCATTGGCAGATTGAAGAAACTCTTGGGGAGCAGCATATAATGTCACATTTACAAATCCCTTATTTTAGACCATTTTTTCGGGGAGCTTTCATGTAATATCACTATGAAGGAGAAGTTGATCACCATCCTGAATTAACAAAAATTATCTTATTTGCTGGTGTTATAGAATTCTGTGTGTTTGTGCATATATACATACATTGTGTCAAGAACTCTGTGTATACAGAGTAGTAGCACGTACCTTCTGATTTCAGCAAGCTGTCACTGTTGCCAAATGGAGAATTCAAGGGAGAACTTCTAGTGTATGTTTTGGGACTATTGACTTCAAATGGAATTCCCCATTCTTTGATTCAATCCACTAAATCGAGCAATTCTTCAGCACAGATCCATCAATGAGTACTGGTGTTATTGGGTCACTTCATGATAAGGAGCCGGTTGCATAATGTCACTTCATGAAGCCAAGAAGATTTCAGAATCACTCTTCTTTGGTTCCGTATCGAGAGGCTGTAAGTATTGCTAGCCTAAAGCTTTTAATTGTATCTATTTGGCTTCTGAAGCTTTGTTATGCTGACCCAGTCGCATTATCTGATGAGAATTTATAACATTTGATCATCATCATCCTTACCTTTTATCCCAAAAGAATGGGGTCGGCCTCATAAGAATTTGTAACACTTACAGTCAAATCTTTTGAGATTGGAATTTATGTCCAATTTATATCAATGTAGGTGCTTCTGGATTGAAAATACTCATGCTGTAATTCTAACATGACAGCAGTTCGTCCTTCTCCATGTGACTGGCAAGAAATGATAAACATTGATATACCATCTCTGCTTCTGGGTGTGATTTATCTTCCACAAGAAAAGTTCGAATCCTCTTGTTAACTTCAATCCAGCTACACCCAGGGTTCTTTTTCAATCCAAGGTCTTTCATCTTCAATCTCACTTTGCGCGCGTCATCCCATTTCTTCATGGAAGCATACATGTTAGCTAGAATTATGTAAGATGATGGATCATCAGGATCCTTCTCAATAAGAAATCTTGCAATTTCCCCCCCTAATTCCGATTCCCCATGCATATGGCAAGCAGAAAATAATGTGCTTAACAATTCACCATTCTCTTTAATGTCTGGGTTTTTTTGGAGAATCTCATATGCTTCATGCAGTCTCCCAGCACGTCCAAGAAGATCCATCAAGCATGAGTAGTCTTCAATTGTAGGTTTGATTCCATAATCAGTAGTCATTAAATTAAAATAATAAAAGCCCTCATCAACTAATCCTGCATGGCTACATGCAGACATTACCGCAAGAAATGTAATTCTGTCAAGTTTCATATTGGATCTTTGCAGTTTATTGAAAAGTTTCAAAGCTTCAAAAGCTTGGCCATGAGACCCATAAGCCATGATCATTGAAGTCCACGACACAATGTCTCTCTCTGGTAATTGATTAAACGCACTAAGAGCTTCATCCACAGCACCACATTTAGCATCAATGTCCAGGAGAGCCCCCATAACTATTTCATTGGGTTCCAACTTACTTTCAGTGATACACTTGTGAATCTCCTTACCCTGTTCTAAGGCTGCTAGTTGTGAACAAGGTGCTAAGATACTAGTGAATGTGATGGCATCTGGTTTTATGCCAGCTTGTTTCATGCCAATGAAGATGCCAAGAGCCTCAAAGTAACAACCTACTGACACATATCCAGAAATCATTACATTCCAAAAACAGATGGGTGTGTCGCCGCACCACAAGTTTAAAGAGTGTGCATTAAGGCGAGGGTCAAGTTTTACATTTATAGAAGCCACTACTACCTTCACAAATAATATAGTTAGGGTGAGTAGGGATCGTCACAAGTTTGGAGTCGTACTTGGTTGTGGAATTGCTATTAGGGTTAGTAGATCGAGTGATCAAACAAGAATTGATTGGTTGGTTGATTAGACTAGAGAGCAACTAAATTAAACTAAGTGATAACAAAATAATGCAATTAAGAGCAAATAAGAGAGAGAAGAGTCTTGGGGCTTAGAGATTACCACCAAGCAATGCATTTCTATACCATTGACAAGTGACTAATGAGGGCAAATGGTGTGTTGCAATATTGGTGTGTGTGTGTGTGTTTGGTTGATTCAACAAGTAAGGATGACTAGTTAAACATGTATTGTCTAAACATCATGTGAAAGGCACAACATATCTAAGTAATGAAGCATATATTGTCTAAACAACATGTGAAAGGCACAATAGATCAAAACAAGTCATTAATCCTTTCATTAGGCTCACAATCCAAATACAACACAAGATTAGAGACATATGCTACTTGCATTCAAAAGCATGGATCATCAAACAACAAGCATGGATTGTCCTCCCATTTAATACTACACTATAACTACTTTATTTGCATAAAAATAAACTAAAGGAGAAGCACAATCCATCAAGAAATGAGTATGAACCATCAAGAAAATCACAAGAGCATTCCATTAAGTACTATGTTTTGACAATCTCTAAATCTATAACATCAATACACATAGACATGCATCAATAACACAAAATCTAGAGACAAGCACACGAACATCTATTTTAGCATACCTAGACATATGGATAGAATGAAATGATCAATTGAAAGCATTTAACCACATAAATCATTGAACAATCAAGATCTATATATATCAAAGTGTCAAAACATTAATTACAACACTAATCACTCAATAATACACAAGATTAAGATATAGAAAGCATGCTTGGGGCTAACTCTAGCCCCAAGAGGATGTCTAGCCACTCATGGTAGTGCTTCTCTAACCCTCAAGGGCTAACTCCATGGTAGAGATTTACTCCTTGGATGATGAAGAGTCTCCAATTGTGTCTCTAGCCTCCTCCTTTAAACTTCTACCCTAAGAATAGCCTCTAAGGTTGTATCCCTAATTCTCTATCAAAAACTCTCAAAAAGTGCATCATCTTCCTTATATAGGTAGGTCAAATAATACACAAAATGAGCTGGAGTCGTGCAAAGAATATTCCCCAATGATTGGATACAAGACAACTTGAATGAGCTGGCTTTTAAACTTTTTCGCATTGGAGGAAGTTCGATCGATCGAACCTTGGACTTGGATCGATCGAACATGGCTGAGATCCACCGAACTTAGGCTGGATCGATCCAACTGGTTGAGCTTTTTGGAAAAAGACAAATCCGAGATATTTTTGGAGATATTTTAGGGAAAAGGACAAAAGTGGTTGGTGGGGTGGTACAACTTGATAAGATCAATCATTTGGATAAGGACAAAGTGTTCGATCGATCGAAGAATGGTGTTGGATCGATCGAACTTTTGACTTTCTGCTTTGGGGTCGAGGTTTGGATCTATCATGAAGTGCTGAGATCGATCAATGTTGGATCGATCGAACCTTGAAATTGGATTGATCGAACTTTGCTGCTTCCCACCTTTGGCTTCTTTTTGCTTCTTTCTTTTTCCACTTTGCTCATTTCTTTGTTTTATCCCAGAATTGCTTCATTTAAGCTCTTATTTGGCTGAGTTAGCTTATTTTTGGGATAAGTGCCTGTAACAACCCACTTCATCACATGGTATGATATTGTCCGCTTTGGGCCTGAGCCCTCACGGTTTTGCTCTTGGGCTTTACCCCAAAAGGCCTCATACCAATTGGAGGTGACACACTTACATATAAGCACTTCACCTTTTCTCTACCCAGGCGATGTGGGACTGGGCACCCGTAGCTTACCAGCGTGGTAGCCTGACAGTGTCTCTCGCACCCGCCCACGGCACACCTGCCCACAAGGTCATCACAATCCACCCCCATTGGAGGCCCGACGTCCCTGTCGGCACACTTCCGGCTGGGTCAGGCTCTGATACCATTTGTAACGACCCACTCCACCACATGGTATGATATTGTCCGCTTTGGGCCTGAGCCCGCACGGTTTTACTCTTGAGCTTCACCCCAAAAGGCCTCATACCAATTGGAGGTGACACACTTACATATAAGTACTTCACCTTTCCTCTACCTAGGCGATGTGGGACTGTGCACCCGTAGCTCGCCAGTGTGGTAGCCTGACAGTGTCTCTCGCACCCGCCCACGGCACACCCGCCCACAGGGTCATCACAATCCACCCCCCTTGGAGGCCCGACGTCCCCGTCGGCACACTTCCGGCTGGGTCAGGCTCTGATACTATTTGTAATGGCCCACTCCACCACATGGTATGATATTGTCCGCTTTGGGCCTGATCCATCAAACCCAAACTCCAAAACTCAATCAGTTTACAACTTAGGAATCCATCTCTAGTGGACCCCTATTAAACATCCAAACGGAAGATAGAACAACTGTAATAAACGTCCAGAAATAAAACTATAGAGAGAGCCCTACATCGTCGGAAGAGTGAATAGATACCTCTGCTCAGCACGAACACGTCTAAGCCTGGAACTGTCGTGTACCTGAAAAATAGAAGTGGGTCAGGCCCACGCACAAGTTCTATACTACTACAATCCAAACAGAGGCCCAATACGCATGTACATCCTAAACAATTCAACAATAGCTAATAGTCCGTAAATATATATATATATATAGTCACACTAAAGGACTCTCACTGGACTACAGGCTGGTCTCAACCTGAATAGAGGTAACATGCTAAAACGCACACGAAATGGGCATATGTACCTATACCTAAACAGGGTACACCTCCAACCATCGTACCCAGCTACATATCCCGATGTATATACGCTCCCTAGCCATCGGTCCTGAGGCTCAAGCTCATACCGAGGCACCATAATAGTACATATATAAAATCCATCCAAAATCCTTGGTATTGCCGCTCAACAAGTAGTTGCCATGACAATACAAATCCACGGGACTTAACTTTTAGTTAATCCCATCCTTATTCCAAGTAGGTGGGTAATGGTATTGTTTTAAAAACCAAACCCATCCTTAGTATACCACCGTCCCATACCGGTGCCTACTTTCCAATCCTCCAATAGTCAATAATACCAATAAATCAAGTATATATCAACTAAATTCCGACATCCAACATTCAATGTTAGCAGTGATAAAATTAGCATTGATAAACAGGGTCATAACAACAACATATACATGCCCAATTTAAGTTGTTCCCTTTAGTCTAATATAAAGACAGAATTAATTAAAACTTCCATTTAACACCTTACAAATGACATACAGATATGTAGGGTATGTATCACAAAATCCTAACCTCCACAGTTGATACTAACTGTGATAATGTAAGCATCAAAACAATATTCACAGTATGTATGTAGACATGCTCAAATTATAGTGTTCCACAAAACCGATCTAGTGTTAAACTCAAATCCTCCTAGTATTTAAGTTCCAACAATTGCTATTACAGAAGTTAAGATAGCTATCGTCTAGACCCATCCTTCCAATAATTTATACTAGCAGTGGTAAGGAAAAATGTGAACCACAGAACCACAATGCATCCACAAACATGCTTAGTCTAGGTTGAACAAGCATACAACACTACTGTAACTACCAGTTTCATAGCAAAACAGATATCATTTTAGTTTGGTTTAATCTTCATTAATCCTGAAATCATTTAAGAGTGTAAAGAGTATGAAGCCTAAGGGAAAGAGTAAGGATAGAATCTTGCCTCAGAAACTTTTGTTCAAAGTTTCAACGTCGTCTTCTTAAAAAATCCCGGCGAGTTCCAAAACCCGGTTACTGTTCACGGGTACGAAACACTATTCCCGAACTCAAAATCTGATCTTGACCGTTCAGATTGTGCGACACTGAGTCATAAACCTATCCTCCAAATTTCAGCTCGATCAGACCACGGACAAAGCGGGATCGGATGTTTGATGAAATCTGGGCAGAATGAAAAAACCTATGCGACCCTGTTACTGTTCACGAGTACGAATCACTGTTCCTGAGGTCAAACTCTGATCTCCACCGTCCAGATTGTGTGTCACTGAGTCATGAACCTCTTCTCCAAAATTCAACTCGATCGGACCACGGACGAAGCAGGATCGGATGTTTGATGAAATCTGGGCAGAATGAAAAAAACCTGTGCTTTGTTTAAAAAACCCTACACAGACGTCTACCTTATACTTATAGAGTTTTCCTAAACCCTAGGTTCATTTAAGTCCAACTCACAATCCTAACCGGCCCATCCAATTAACGTAAAAACCTACGACGGCTATAATATAAAACCCTAATTTATACTGTTATTAAAACCCTAGTTAGATGTATTTACCTAATTACCCTATTCACCATTAAATACTTAACAAATAATCTAATTGAACAAAGTAATAATTAGTAAACCCAATTAAACCAAATAAGACACACATAAAATAAGACACACATAGAATAATTAAACCAATTACACTTAAACCATTAATGCCAATTAAATAATTAAAACACTAACAAGTAATTCCAATCGAATAACTAAAAATAAATATCATTTAAATAAATTAAATCACCACAAAAGAAAACAATTAAGCACCTAATAAAAAAATAATGACACATAATCAAATCAAATGCACTTAAATAATAAATTAAATACCATTAAATACCAGGAATATCCTTTTTAAAATTAGGGGTATTACATTCTTCCCCCCTAACAAAAGGAATTCCGTCCTCGGAATTGACTCTTACCTTCTTCCAATATTTCAGGAAACCGTAAGCGAATGACATCCTCTCGTTCCCAAGTGGACTCAGACTCATTGTGATGACTCCACTGAACACGAAC